TTAACACTAACATAGCAATCTTAAACCATGTCCACGCTGCACAGGGGCACCGCCCCACTAGTCAGCTCCCCTAGGGGCAAGTTACACTGCAGCAGAGTGAGGGGGAAAGTGTGAGGGCATGTCCATGGCAATTCTGCTGCAGCATGGCCTCACAGCATAGTGTTGAGGTGAGGGTGGCATGAGGAGCAGTCCTGGGGCAGATGCCATTGCATTTCACAGCTAGGTGGCAGGGAAGGGTGGCTCAAGAGAGTGCCATTTTCTGCTTCCACCTCACCGACAGAGACACGCAGTGATGACAGGCGTGTGGTCACTGTCATTTGTAATTCCTGCTTGCCAGCATGTCCCATGGCCAAGCCCCCCCAACCCCCTGAATACTTTGAGTCAGCCCGTTGCAGTGACTCACCCCCACCATTGGCTCAGGGAACTCTCATGATCTCCTTCCTCCTCAGTGCTACTTGCACAGATGCCTTCCCCTCTGGGTGCCAGAGGACCCCCTTCCTGGAGCAGGCACACAGATAGAAGCCTCATCCATTCACTCATTTATTTAGCAGCCCTTCTTCCCCCCCAGTGGCTTGCATCAGTCCCCTCTTCTTTGTTCCAAGGACACAACAACCCTGAGAGGTTGCTCAGGCCGAGGGTGTGCATCTGGGCTGAGGCCACCCACCTGGCTTCCATGGTACAAGTGAGGAACGGAATCTGGGTCTGCCAGGTCCAGCCTCACCCTCTCATTGCCACAATAAGCTGTCCTATTCACCCAGACCACCCTCTGGCCCCTTCCCCCTTCACACAGAAGCCTACGAGGTAAGCAAGGGAACCTGTCTGTGTGGTGTGCCTGTGTCTCTGCTATGTATGGCAGATTACAACCAGTGGGACTTGTGCAACCTTCCCCAACCATCCACGGCACTCAAGAGCCCTCCTTCTGAGACATGTCCTCGGGAAGCTCACAGGGGGAGTGGCAAATTGAGTGGGGAGGGAGTGGGGTAGGGAGGGGTGTGGAGCTCCTGTCATGTAGCAGAAACCATGTAGCAGAGACACAGGTGTGGCACAACATAGACTTTATTGCAGTGGAATCCCTGGCAAAGGGTGAGGACTCCATCCACTTCCACCCTGGGGACTGAGGATCCCCAGCATGGCATGCACCTAAGTGGAATGATATCGCAGGTGGAACTTGTAAGGGCTTGCCGGGTGTGATGCTCCACTTCAAGAGGAGGGCTGGAACAGCGGACTGAGCAGAGTGCATGGGGTGCGTGACTTGCCACACCCACGAGTCCCTCTGTTGAATCTCTACCTGCAAGACAGAAAAACAGAGCCATGGCAGGCAGGCACAAGTGCCATGCCAGCCTCAGCCATGGATGTCTTGTTCCATGCATGCAACTGCAGCTCCATGGGGAGGGGGCTCTCCATGAACCCCGCTTGAGGCACATAATGGAACCAGCCAATTTACACTCACCCAGGTCTGTAGCTACAATGGGGCTTTTGGGGGCTTCACCCCCTTTTTTAAAGGCACAGCCCCACAAGAATGTCTCCTGTAAATACTTTAAAAAATCATTTTAGAACATTTTTTTAAAGACGTGCTCTCCTTTAAGCGGAGTGTGGTGATGTAGTTGACTAATTCCTGCACTGAGCTAGGGGGTTGGAGTAGGTGACCTCTAGGATACCTTCTAATTCTGTGTCAAGAAACTGGTCTCCTTTAAGAGAGTTTTGTGCCTAAGTATTAGCTTTCTTGGCTATAGAAGTCATCATCCCCATCTGCCAGCTTGTCATCAGAATTGTTGCTTAGGCTCGCTGAAGTGATTAACTTGCAGCAGCTGAGAACTGTCATCTAAAGTGGTTGACAGCTGGCAGTTTAGAGATCTATCCTGGTAACAGCTTTATTTCGGCTAAATGTTTAATAGGCTGTTGATTATAGCATAAGAACAAATATGTAGAATAGACAGCTTGAGCAGACTCAGAGAGAGAAGAGACTGCCTATGTGTTGTTTATCCTTTGTTTTTTGTAAATAAAGTTTTATGTGTTTTAATACAAATTGGATTGAGTTTACTGGCCAAACCCAGATAAGTATTTCCAGTGCCACGCCTACCATCTACCAGAAAATTGACCCCCCCCCTCCCGCCTGCTATTGTCACACTCTGGGGCTAAGATTTTCAGATGAGGATCCCCAGCATGGCATGCACCTAAGTGGAATGATATCGCAGGTGAGTCATTATCCTCAGAATTCTGGACTTTCTTTCTGCTCTGAGAACTTCAACCCCACCAGAAAAACATTTGCCTCACAAGCCACAAAATCCTGGCTACAGGCCTGCACTCACCTGTCCTGTGTTGAAGTGCTCCCAGATTGCTTCCAGTCCATCAGCTGCTGCAGCTCAAGCCTCTGATTCTGCAGGGGAATGAGTTGAGGGGACACTTGCCAAGCTGGTTCACCACATACAGTGGAGCAGCTGCCAGACTCCTCCCCCCCAATACTCCCTGTACTTTGCTGAGGTTGGGAACTGGACAAATGACAGAGCACCTCCCCCCCCCCCAAAGATCTCCTGGAAAACTTCCTGGGGAACTTTTCCCATGGCTTATTAGGGGGCATGGCGCTGTGCAGTTGTGGCTTGTTCCACCCCACAGCTGAACTCAATGCAGTGTTTGAGTGCAGGAGATGCTGTCACAGCACCCAGACTCAAGAGAGGGAACTGGGGGAAAAGGTTTGGGATCTTTGTCCCTGCTTACCTGTCAGTGCCCAGGTGCCCTTGTGGGTCGAATCTCCAAAGGAGGGGTACCTGTGAGGGTTCTGAAATGGAAGAGGTCAGTCACAGAATATGGACTTTAGTAGCCTCTTTGAGTGTCAATGCCAAGTGCCCGACTTATAGTGCTAAGTGTACGCTCTCTGTGCTTCTGCCACCACCAAAGTGCCTCGCTGCTTGCTCTAAGTCTGCATAGCAGGGCGCTCCGAGATAGAGTCCCGAACTGTGCGCCCTTATTGCTGAGTTGTAAGATGTCACAAAGGAAGTATTTGTACCAGGGGGAAGCCTGATTGGGTGGTGGGGAGGGGGCTTGGCTGCTGTGATGAGGGATGTGATTCGCTGCGCCTGTAGTCAGCATCCTGAGCTCCTCTAAACCTAATGTGCAAGGCTGCAGCAGTGGGCGCAAGTTCAGTGGGCAACTATGGGCCACACCATATTGTTAGTGTAACTTTCCACATCTGGAAGGGGCGTTACCAGGGGTAAGGTTGAGGGGAAAGGGGGTGCTTTCTCTCTCTATATATAGGGCTGGCTGATTACCTCCCAGAGCTGTTACAACTGTCATTGTTTGTTGCTATGTATACGGTTTGTGAGTTCTTGTTGAGAACCTAATATACAGCTGCAAGTACAGGAAGATCTGTTACTATGAACTCTGCTTGCAGTAGTTTTTGCCTTTCTGGTTTCTGATTGAACAAAAGGATACATCTGAAGTAGTCTGTTACTGAATATGCATTACCAGGGGTCATTTCGTAGATAAAGAAGTGCAGGAGCTCATTAGCATAGCTCATTAGCATAATCCATTTGCATATGCCACACCCCCTGACATCACCGGAAGTGTGTCAGAAGGCACCTACCACTCAGGCGCCAATGGACTGTTTTGGATTGCTAGCTATTGGGAGGGGGGCGCATGCAGATCTGTCTTCGCAGAGGAGGGAGAGCTTGTACCTGAATAAAACCTGGTCTTAAAGGTGCTACTGGACTGTTTTGGACCGGGGGGGGCAGGGGGGCTCTGCAACTTACCTGACTGCTTCTTGCTCTGACTGAGGGCTGCTGGGAGCAGGGGGTGGGGCTTGTTGCATGTGCCGGCCCCCTGGGCTCTTTACTGCCAGAGCTCCGCTCCTGTGCGCTCCTGCAGGAAATGACCCCTGTGCATTACCTTCACTGTGTTAGGGTGATGGCTTGCAAATAAACAATTTCATATTTCCCATGTCATTATAAATAACCCCTGTAATGTTAATGTAGTTATTATTTTAGTCTAATAAATTGAATGCTCTTTTTAATTTTGGGAATTAAAAACATTAAGTTCAGTTGATTGTTAATTTTTCCTGCATAAATCTTGTTAATCTTTCATTTTTAACATAGGTCCATTTGTTCTTTTAATGTAGATACAACTATTTCTGCCTTGGGTTTCTGTACTCAAGATTATTTTTGCTTCTAGTTCATCTTGCTGTTTTGGTTTTCCGTCCATATCAACTTTTTAGCACTTCAAAGCAGTCATATGCGAAAAGAATTTAATTCCTATTTGTTTTAACCCCTTACACTTCATGCACATTTTCTTAGTCCATGAAACTAACACCGAGGTAGATCACGTGACCAGAGTATGGCCCCATGTGCTTCAGAGACAGGTGTTTTCTACTTTTTGTACCTACTTCTGAATTTGTCACTGGGCACTCCAAAACTGCATGTAGAAATCGTTACCCTGTTAAGAATATCCCTAGAGGTACTTCCTGTTCTGATGCTTATTCATTCATCAAATGAGTGCATGCTCATTCTTCTTGTTCTCCAGTGCAGGTTTCTTGTGCTAAAGACTGTTGTTTGAAAGAGCTGAAAGACTGTTGTTTGAAGGAGCTTATCTAGTCCATCAGTGATTGCAAGTCTTTTGAGTTATACTTTACAGGTCCTGTTAAACTGTTAGTTCATTAGAGAGAATTATGGCTTTGAAAGATTTAAAATTCATTGAAATACAGTATATAGAGAGTGAAAGGTAAACAGGTATTTGTTTTGATCATTTAATTACAACAGACTTATGCAACATATGATGGGTAAGCTGAGATGACATAGGAATGGGTTGATTTTTTAAAAAATTAGGAGGTTTAATGCTAGATGCTATAAGTAATTTATGTGACACAGTCATTTATCATGAATAGTAGTTGAAGTTAAGAACAGTACATGTTGTTCAAACAGCTTATTTTGGACATGTCTGTGAATGATTGTAATTTTATTTTAATTTATAGTATTTTGGTGTTGATAAATGTCATGCTTTCTATTGTACAGACAGTGGGATGAGCAGTTGGATCCTAGGCTCAATGCAAAGCAGAAGGAGGCTGTTCTGGCAATCACAACTCCACTCTCAATACAGTTGCCTCCTGTTCTTATCATCGGTCCCTATGGGACAGGCAAAACCTTCACTTTGGCTCAGGCAGTCAAGCATATACTTCAACAGCAGGACACTAGGTGAGATGGGATGATATATAGATATTTAATTGGAAGGCAAATGCCACGGTTTACATAAGGGAAAGATGGCAGTGCAGAATTTCCATCCAGCTTAAAAAAACCATCCATCATTGTTTTGTATAGATGTTAGGAGACAATTTGACAGTCTAAAGGTATATATGCTAATAAGAATGAATTGAAATTGGCAACATATAGAATAGATATATTGCATCATATTTAGAAAGCTATGCAGTGTGTAGACTTGTAATGGCTATCTTTATTTTAAATCTACATTAGGTAAAGTGTAAAAATGGTCTTTAAAAGCTGTGTTGAAAGTTTAAATCTTCCCACAGAAATTAGTTAGAAGCATCTTTGAACCATAAAATTCACAGACTAATTTCATAAAAAGAAATGTGTGGGGAAGATGGTCACTATCTCTTTTTTTGTATTTTTACTGCTTTGAATGATTTTCTGTTTCTTCATTGCTTTTTTATTTGCACCATTTATTCCAGCAGGATTCTCATTTGCACCCATTCTAATAGTGCTGCTGATCTCTACATAAAGGATTATTTACATCCATATGTAGAAGCAGGCAATCCCCAGGCGAGACCTCTCAGGTATTTTTTTAAGGCTTATTATGTATCTATACAATATCTTAAGAAAAGGTGTCTCTTCTAAATAGTTTTGGAAAAAATCAGAAATTCTAAACTTATTGGCATTTAAAAACTCTATTTTGTATAAATTTAGACTAAAATGGAATATGGAACAACATCAGTATTGATTTCAAGTATCAAAGATTAAAGACATCCTTTTTTAAGCCTTTCTTATGTGGATATATGTGCTTTTACTAGCTGAACAACATTTTATGTGGTCCTCTAAAATGACTAAGATTCCCCCTCCAACCCCTAGATAAGAATTGCATTTTACTTCGGAAAAATAACTTTTAAAAAAGAGAAATATGTGTAAATTAGGAGAACATTTGGAGTCTCATGTGAAATTAGTTCAGTAGCAAGACATTTGTGTGAAAATCAGCTTGTCATGGGTCTCAGTACAATTAGGAAAAGAAAAATGATGGAGAAGGAGAATTTGAGCTCACACATATGTACAAGAATTAAAAAGTAACCTTCTGGTTTTAGATTTTTTTAAAGCTATAAAACCACAAATTTACTAAAGCTGTGTATCCATTTAGCTAGAAATACTGCCATTAAGATTTGAATGACTCTTGTATACTGCTGTCCTGAAGCTAGGTCATTAGCCAGTCATGGACGGAGTTTCTCTGTAAGCAAATGTTAATATATAAACAGGACAGAATTAATTTGAGGTAGCAACATGATCTAGTGCTGTGCAACTAAGGTTGCTAGCCTTCCACCAAGTTTTTCCTTTCCTGTTCAGAGACTACCTTGGAATCAGAGTGCATACTTCCTCTACAGTTCCATAGCAACAGAGAAGGCTGGCATGGACCTCAAGGGTCATCAACTCTAACCCTTCCCAGAAGCAAGAATCCTTCCTAAAGAATCACCAAATGATTAGACACTCTTAGATGTGTAGCTAAAATTATCTCAAGATTATTTTATATAGATCCAGGCTAACTACATGCACCATAGTTAGGGAGTAAAGCCAGGTCTATGTAACGCAGTAAGAGGGTAGCATTCTGAGGTGGAAGAATGTACTTTACTGCTTCGTACTGTAGTTTTTATTATGGCCCAGGTAAAACCTCATTGCAGGTTTTTTTTTTTGAAGTAGTATATCAGTGATAAATAGTTCTAGCCAGGGCTTTTTTCTGGGGGGGATGCACTGGAACAGAGTTCTGGAACCTCTATGACAACATTCTTTAAAAATTTTTAAAAGTTCATGAGTTTTCAGTATATAGATTGAAAACTTTATTTCCCTCTTGAGAGTTCCAGCACCTCTTTTTAAAAAAAGCTCTGGTTCTAGCTTAGTGCTTTGTACGGTGGGCTAGTTATCCACTGCAAGGTTTGGGAAATATAATCCCTCACCTGCACTCTGATGTGGTGCTGTCTGTTCTGCCATTTCATCACCTCAGCTGCCTCATTACCAACTCATTCTGCTTATTGTCTATACCAGGCTTAAGTCAGATCCTGAAATCCCTTGAGTACTGGAGCACACACTTTGTTTTTTTGGCTGGATCAAAAGGAGCCTTCTGGAGCAGTTTTGTCTGCTCAGCGAGGCCTTTTGTCTGTCATCCTCTGGCCAGGGTGCACTGGACATGGGCCTTTTTGGCTGCTGCCTGGCTTCTTTGGAATGTCCTCTGGGCCTTTATCTTGCTTGTCTTCCAGGCTGGCTGGAAAAATAATCTACATAAAAGGACTTTTGATCTGGGCTAACCAGTTCTCTGGGTGTATTATTACTCCAGGAGTAGGGCTTTGATTGCTATTTTTTAGTTATGTTATTGATTTGATAATTGCTATTGTTATTGTTGTTTTGAATGTTGTTACTCTCCTTGACTTCCATCTGCAATGAAAGAAAGGTGGGCCCAGAAATATGTAAAATAAATGTAAGCAGATCTGTTGGCAAGAGGGTTGATGGGCCTTGATTATGATAAGATGGGAATTTTGTAGAGAATGAAAGATGCTACGTGCAGATCTTATATCCAGCTTAGTATTCTGAGAAAGAGGACATTATTTCTTGTCTAAAAATTGCTTTTATGTTTGAGTTTTTAGCTTTGACCTTAGTTCAAGATTTCTGGATAGTTGCTGCACACTAATTAGTATAATTTCACCTTGCCCGGGGTTGGGGGGGGGGAGCTTATCTTTACTGTCTAAAGTCAGTTTAACAATTTAATTGAAAGAGATTTTGAAGGGCTTGGGGACTAAAGATCAGGAAATTAATGAGGCACAGAGTTGCTAGGTCTCAACTCAAATCTGATGGGAATCCTGTTGTCTGTGGTATCCTCTGTTACTGCAGTGTTGTTACCTTGAAACCAGAAGAGAGCTACAATAGCCAAAAAGTGTGGGCCAGGCTGAATTTTACATTCAGATTTGATGCTAAGCAGCTTTTAGATGGTGTCTTCTAATTTGAGTATAACAGTTTACTAGGTCCTGCAGATTTTTAATTGCTATGAACAGGGGACTTTTTGTAGAAAAAGAGCTGCCGGAGCTCATTAGCATAACTCATTAGCATTTGCCACACCCCCTGACATCACCGGAAGTGTGTCATAAGGCCACACCCTCTGACATCACCGGAACCTCTTGATGACTGTTTTTTGTTTCTTGTCCTTGGCCCTTTCGGTCTGTTGGTTATGGTCCAGCTCCCCCTCTTCCTGTCACATGACTCTGATATCACATCCCGGGATGCTCCTTTGTGAGCGACTGGCATTAAAGCTATGAGTGAGCAATTTGGCTACTGCATAAATTAGTTTGCTCTGGAGGCATCTTTCCTGAATTATGACAAAAATGTATGAGCCGGAGGCTAAAAAACTGTTAGCTACCTTGCACTTAGAAGAAACACTGGACAAAACCCGGGTGCCCTCAGGAGGTCCACCAGCAGGGCCAAAACTCCAGGAGCCCTCCCACTCTTGCCCCCCAAGCATCAAGAATGCAGAGGATCACTGCGCCAGACACAAGAACATAAGAGAAGCCAATGCTGGATCAGGCCAATGGCCCCTCCAGTCCAACACTCTGTTACACAGGGGCCATCTTTATAAAAAGAACAGGTTGAAAATTTAGATAGCCTTTGTACTGTTTACTTGATGCATTAATTTCATTGTTCTTCAATTGTATGATCTAGTTTTATTGTGCTGTTTGGTGTTTATTATGTTCATCTTTATTGTACTGTATTCTAATTTGTGTATATCTCAACAACAATGGAGGACTATAAACAAACTTCAAAACACTGTAAGAAACAGAATGCTGAACTAGATGGACCTTTGGTCAGATCCAGTAGAATTCCACATCCTTAAAAAAAGAAACTACACAAAATTGCTAACAGACAAACTGGTGCACAAAATAAAAAAAGCATTAACCATATAACCTCAGCACCACCATACTTCAATTTAAGCACCAAATTAGGCACCAATACAGAGTGGAACTAAGCCACTCTGATCACAACAGGACTGAGAGTCAGAATATTATTTGGCCTCCTATAACACTGGTCAAGCTGCAATAAACTTGAG